AAGTGATGTGGGCTGGGCGGAGCTCATGGTGAACTGGGGATTTCGTGCTGCTCCTATTACTCCGGCTCATTGTTGCCCAATTCCCTTTTTCCATGAGAAAAGTCAGAAATGTGTGAAATGTGGGCAACTATGTTGTGCATTAACATCCGTGGGTTGTCCCACATATGTGGTCTTTTGCTCCTAAGACTTGATAATCTCACCATATCGAAAGAAAGAGCTTGCTTGTGGGGATAGGAGTGACCAGAAGAAAATAATGAAGGGAGAGTGAGTAGTGAGTGAAGGGAGGCCAAGGGTCTGTAATACTGCAACACCAGGTAATCAGAGCACAAGAACCTGCTCCACACAACAGGTGTGTAAGCGTCACCTGGTGGAGATGTCTGCCTCAGATGAGGATGGCTTGGTAACATCATCTGCTATGATTATCCAACTAACTCCACTCACTCGGCTTGGTACTCCTCATGCTACTTCTGCTTATAATTGGGTTTCCCAGATTTGTCCACAGATCAGTTCAATTCAGTTCAGTGGCTCAGTCGTGTCCAATTCTTTGCGACCCCATGAACCGCAGCACGCCAGGCCTCCCTGTCCATCACCAACTCCCGGAATCCACCCAAACCCATGTCCATTGTGATGGTGATGCCATCCAACCATCTCATTCTCTGTTGTTCCCTTCTCCTCCTGCCCTCAATCTTTCGCAGCATCAGGGGCTTTTCAAATGAGTCAGTTCTTTGTATCAGGTGGCCAGAGTACTGGAGTTTCAGCTTCAACATCAATCCCTCCAATGAACACCCAGGACTGATCTCCTTTAGGATGGACTGGTTGGATCTCCTTGCAGTCCAAGGGACTCTCAAGAGTCTTCTCCAACACCACAGTTCAAAAGCATCAATTCTTTGGTGCTCAGCTTTCTTTATAGTCCAGCTCTCACATCCATACATGACCACTGGAAAAACCATAGCCTTGACTAGATGGACCTTTGTTGACAAAGTAATGTCTCTGCTTTTTAACATGTTGTCTAGGCTAGTCATAACTTTCCTTCCAAGGAGCAAACGTCTTTTAATTTCATGGCTGCAATCACCATCTGCATTGATTTTGGAGCCCAGAAAAATAAAGTCAGCCACTGTTTCCACTGTCTCCCCATCTATTTTCCATGAAGTGATGGGACCAGATGCCAAGATCTTAGTTTTCAGAGTGTTGAGCTTTAAGCCAACTTTTTCACTCTCCTCTTTCACTTTCATCAAGAGGCCCTTTAGTTCTTCTTCACTTCCTGCCATAAGGGTGGTGTCATCTGCATATCTGAGGTTATTGATATTTCTCCTGGGAATCTTGATTCCAGCTTGTGCTTCTTCCAGCCCAGCGTTTCTCATGATGTACTCTGCATATAAGTTAAATAAGCAGGGTGACAATATACAGCGTTGACGTACTCCTTTTCCTATTTGGAACCAGTCTGTTGTTCCATATCCAGTTCTAACTGTTGCTAGAATGTGAATATGAATACCCAGTTTACTTGGTAGTTTCACGTCACCTCCCAAAATAACAGAGAGGCATTCTGACTTTACAAATTCATATCTTTTTGTTAAACTCAGGACCTCATCATCTAGGACATGCTTGATAATCATATTTCTTTGTAATAATCACACATATATGATACACACACACACACACACACATATATCTCGCAGGTCTTAGATCTGGAATCACTCATTCCCCCAAGAAGCCTTGTCTTCTTGAGTGGGAAATGATATTTAAAGGTCACAATCTGTGCTGTCATTACATCTAGGCCTTTTCAGTGGTCAGAGCTACAAAACACATATATCTTTAAACTTAAAAAAAAAATCGCAGGCACATACTGATATTTCTAATTCAAATTTAACATTACAGGGATATATAAATATATAGCACTGTGGAAAATCTTGACTCCTAACAACATTAACAGGCTTCTCTGGTGGCTCAGACAGTAAAGCGTCTGCCTACAGCGTGGGCGACCCGGGTTCGACCCCTGGGTCGAGAAGATCCCCTGGAGAAGGAAATGGAAACACACTCCAGAATTCTTGCCTGGAAAATCCCATGGACGGAGGATCCTGGTAGGCTACAGTCATGGGGTCGCAAAGAGTCGGACACGACTGAGCGACTTCAACAACATTAACATAGTTATTTGCTTTATCTTGCAATATAAAAGACAGCTGCAAAATAAGAGTACTGTTAATAATAAAACTACTTAATGCATGAAGTCTGTGATTTCTTTGAAGCTCTATCTGTCCCTAGAATATATTCCACTGATGACATAGAGTCAAAATGCTGGATTAATAACTTGAAGTAATTATTTTCTCAATGTAGTTATATCACCAACTTGATATATAGTTTAAAGCAATGAAACATTTTAATTCTTTTTTAACTTTTAGAGATTGCTTTTTCTTTTTATCTATCTTTTTGGAAATTTAAAATATTAACAAGATGCTAAAACTACGTAATAAAGTATACTCTGGGAGAATTACTTTCACCTGCATTTTTATTAGTTTTAAGTTTGTAGCATTTTGTTTTGCTCATATAAGCAGATAGATATCTATTTTAACCCTATCCCCTCATACTCAGTTCTGAGAGGAGGAGTGATCTTGGGAGACTCGCACTGCCCTGGATGCCGCCTGCCACTCCAACGAGGGATCAGCTGTGCCCATGCGACCCCCATGTGGTATGTTTGCCATGGGTCTGTGTGGGTAAAAGCATGGTGGTTATGTAGAAAGATGTCCATGTTTGTCTTTTTCATTTGGATACTGTCAGATGAAATTCATCATGAATAAAGTCAGAGGATCAGCCTTCTTCTCAAACTAACTGCCTCCAAACTCCCCTGTATGTTCTCAGCACCTCAGTTCTACTAATCACCTAGTATAAAAACTTTGGTCAAATTGGACTTCTCCATTCTGCTTAGTCTTCATACTCTATCAATCACTACATTTGACATCAATGTTTTTTTGAGCATCAACTATACGCCAAGTACATGATAAATAAGATATGACTGGTGACTCTAAGGGGAAGCTTACATTGCAGTGGGGAACTCATAGGGGAAAAAAAAAAAAAAAGATCCCAGTATGGTGTAAGGTACTGTACTTGAAGTAGGCAGGGGTGGCTTGGAAGAATAAAGTGAGTACAGAAAATTCTAATTAAGGAGAACTTCACAAAGAAGGTGATGCCTGAGTTGAGTTTTGGCAGGAAGTGCGAGTAGGTTTTGCTCCTGAGAAGAGGATAAAGATGAGAGAAAGAACATTCCAGGCAGAGAGAGATAAAAGATAAATGAAAGCAAGTTGTGTTTCAAGAACTGCAGATTTTTCAGTGTGTGTGGAGTATCACAGTTTGGCAGAAGAAGAAAGATAATTAAAGGCCTGATGGTGAAGAATTTTGTTCACTTACGATGTTACAGATTTTGGTTTTTTATCAGAACTCTCAGGGAAGCCCTTGATAGATTTTAAAGTGTGTAGTGTTATATCAGAATTGCACTTTTAATAAATCACCCTAAGGTTGGTCAGGGAATAAGAATGAAATGAGCAAGGAAAAATCTGGAGGCAAGGCTAATGCCATAATTCAGGGAAAAAATGCTGAGTCCCTGAACCAAGGGCAGTGGCAGAAAAGATGGTGGGAAGAAAACTGGCTTGACAGACTTGAAGGAGACAGAACTGATAGGACTGGCAAATGGACAGTGACTCAAGGACACTCTCAGACTTTAGGCTTTGACAGCTAAGTGGGTGGTGGCAACATTCACTTAGAATAGGAGCACAAGATGAGAAGCAATGGGCTGGAGGGTAGGGAGCAAAGATGAAGGTGTCCAGTGAAATAACACTATGGAAAAAGTATTCATTCAACACACATGTATTTATTGAACTTCCACTCTGTGAAAGGCACACTGTCTTCTAGAAAGCTTTCAACAGATTATTTTGTGCAGGAGTTTATGAACAATAGAGAGAGGTTTAGAGAGGAAAAATGAGAGAGAAAAGAGCAGATGGATGAGTATTAGTGGGGATGAGAATATGGAGCCTGCATTTGAGAAACATGAAGAAAGTAACAGATCTCAATGATCTCAGTATGTTGACCTAAAACTGCTTCAGTATGAATGAATGCTGAAGCCCTGGAGAGTTTCAGAGGCTGGTGAACCAAGTTCCCATCAATTCTTTTTATAAAGCTTCTTGTAGCTTCCTTTATATTGTCATTGCTATCACCAGAGCTCAGACACTTTCTTCCTGTTCCTTTAATTTGTGCATTTCTCATTCTTCTTGTTTGTATTTTTTATTTTAAAATATTTTCCTTCTCTATATCATATAAGCAAAGAGAAGAAAGTTAAAATATAGCTTATAATTCCATCACTCAAAGATAAATACTGGTAATGTGTTAGGATAATTTTCCACTTTTTCCTAATGAAGTGGGAGAGAAGAGAAAACATATTTTATTTACAAAAAGAGGTTCATATTGTATATTTGGGGGTTTAACAAACTTTTTTTAAAAACCTAAACACTGTAACATGGATTTCTTCCTCTGCCCTTAAAGACTCCTCTATAGCATAATGTTTAATGACCTAATAGCACTATGTTGTATTTTACTGTCATTTCCAATTTTCAGAATTAAGAACAACTCTGACCATTTCAATATTATGCCATCTTTCCTTTCTCCAAATTCATGTTTGTCAGTGCCACTTATACCACAATCTACTTTATGGTATCTTTATATTTTTATTTAACTTTTCTATAAGCTTGTGTTTTGGTTTTACCAAATATTTTAAGTATCAGTTGGCTTAGGTTAGTTATGCTGCAGTAGCAAACAAGCCCCTAATCTCAGTGGTTACAACAAAATATTCATTTCTCACTCATATTTCATGTTGACTACAGGTTAGCTGTGGATCGGCTTCACAGGCTCTTTACCTTGGGCTGAAGCAGCTTCTATCTGGGACATGCCGTTCTTGTGGCAGGGGGAGAAGGCTGGGGGAGTCATGTAATGACCCTTAAAGCTTTTGCTTGAAAGTTATGTACATCACTCCCACTTCTATTTTATTGGCCAAAGCAAGTAACATGGTCAAGCTCGACATCAGTGAGTGGAGAAGTATAGTCTACGCACACGGTGAGACAGCGAGTCACTGAAGTAATAATAAAATCCACCTCAGTTTTAAATTCCTATGGATACATGTGTTTGGCTTATTCTTTATGTGTCATCTTTATGAACCAGCTGGATTTCATGGGCAAAATTATTGAATAGCTTTATTTTTCTTACTCTCTTTCAAATATGACTGAGTGAGACCCTCTTCCCCAATTATAGACTTTATCATAGGCAGATCTGAATGACTTTCTTACAACTTTGAGGTTTTATCACATCGTCTTTATGACTTAAAAAGTTTGATTTGATCAAAGCAAAAACTTTAATCCTTCATTTAGTTAAAGTGTCTCTCCTCCACAGTTCTTAACCAGATTGAGGTTTGGACACTTGTGGGCTTCCCTTGTGACGCAGCTGGTCAAGAATCCACCTGCAGTGCAGGAGATCTGTTCGATCCCTGGGTTGGGAAGATCCCCTGGAGAAGGGAAAGGCTACCCACTCCAGTATTCTGGCCTGGAGAATTCCATGGACTGTATAGTCCATGGGGTTGCAAAGAGTTGGACACAACAGAGTGACTTTCACTTGGACACTTGTAGTGAGTCTGTTTTTCTCTACATGTTCTACCACTTCCCTAATTGCTTTGCCACAAGGCTTTAGGCCCTCTGCCTAACAGAGGCAGAGTTTCTGGCTCTTTCTCTTCAGGGATGTTTTGTGGGCTGTTTGAAGACTCCCTGCTAGAGGTCCCCAGTGCACTGTTCCCAGATGTGGGCAAGCATCTTTCAGCTGACCCCACCACTGTTCCTATAAGCTCTTGCTTCTCAACTTTCACCCCAAGACCACTCTTCCTCTCAGGGCCATCTTTTCAGGCCGACAGGCCTCTAGAATGAAGACACTTTAAGACAACTCACGCTGAAGAGCATGTGTGATGTGATGTCCAGTCTGCTTCACTGGAAACACTCATTTTTGCTCCACCAAATCCTGAAAGTACTGGCCATTCCCACTAGAGCCTTCAATGCTCACTCTCTTACCAGGGGCAGCTCTCGCAAGCCCTTATCTTTAGACTTTTCCAGGTACAAGTCAGTTTCCAGGTCCTCCAGACCACCTGAAGACCCATGGCAAGTTCTCTGAGACATCCACTTACAGCTGTTATCTAAGGTGGGCGTCAGACGGGAAGATTTTAAAGCACAGGGCTCTAATAACTATTTCCAAAAGTAACTCTCACCTCCAACAGTCTTCATCTTACCTATAAGCTGGAGGTAGGAGTTGGGCCTAGAGTCACAAAGTAAGTTTTATAATCTCTTATCAGCTCCTTTTGTTCGGACAAAAGGATATCATGCCATATATATTCAGAATTTATATTTCTACCTGTGATGTATTTTACACCTAAACTGGTTAACCTCAAGCATGAGTGAGAGATGGAAGACGGTGGTATCTGGTTATTTTTAGAAAATGTTATGTTATCTCTTTGCTACATCTAAGATAGCTGCATAAAGACTTTCACTATTATTTTTTTTTTTTAAAGCACAGACTTGTAAAACAGCAAACAAGACTAGAAAATTCAGAATTATGGTCAATATAAGTGAAAAGGATTATAATGCCAAAAAAAAAGCAGTTATGAAAACTTACCTGTCCCACTCATCCCTGGAAACTCTGATGAACTGGGAAAAGGGTTAGGTGGCTCTGTCACACCTTGTTTAGTTCAACTTAGCTTTATTCTGCTATTAATCTTACAAGCAAAAGAAAGCAATGTTGAAAGCCAGGAGTAATATTTCAAATCTTGGCTGCTAGCAAATGAAAAACAGATTGAACAAGCTTGGCTTGTGATTCATTCTACAATTTAAAGCCACTGCCCTTTAATTTAGTCTTCTGAATGCAACTACAGTAGGTTTGCATCCTTGTATTTGGATAATGAGCCAACCCACCATGAAGGCTGAAGGCTGTCTCGGCTGCTTGCTGGCACTAGATAGCACTGGGTGCAATGACATTATGCTCCCAACAGTGTTAATTATAAGTGTCTTAGAATAGAAACACAGAACAGAAAATCAAAGATGTTCTTAGTTCACCACTAGTAAACAAATGGCAAGCCACAAATGGCAGAGGTTCTCTTTGTTGGAGGTAAAACCGCTGAGATATTGACCACTACTGAAGCCCAAGATACTTTAACAAAATGTGTAGTTGATATGAGGAATTTTTTTCCTGAAATTTTATTATGAAAAAATTCAAAAATATCAGAATTGATATAACTGTAGTAACCTCTCATGTATTCACCACCTAGATTTTATAATTGTTGTTTTGTAATATTTGCTTTCTTATATACATTTACCTATTAATTTGTCTATCCACCAATCCATCTCCCTTTTTTTTTTCAAATGCACTTCAAGGTAAACTGCAGACAACAGCACACTTTACCTCTAAACACTTCAGCCTGCCTATTTGTTTAGGGATTTTGTGTGTGTGTGGCAAAGTGAAAGGCACAAATCTTAAATGTATCACTTGACAAGTTTTAACAAATGCATACATCTGAAACATAGATTTTTAATCTCCATTCTAAATGACTATATTTTACTTTTAGGGTTGTATATTCCATGTCGTTGGGTTTTACTTAAGTTCAATTTTTTTTTCAAAAGCTTGAATTTCAAATACTACCCAAAAAATAAACTACAGGCTACCACCACCTATTCAATTATTCCCTCCAGTCATTTGACAAATATACCAGCAACAGTAGACTAGAAAACATTATGATAAGAATGAGGTCATCCCCATTACAGTATACTAACACATATATATGGAATTTAGAAAGATGGTAACGATAACCCTATATGCAAAACAGAAAAAGAGACTCAGATGTATAGAACAGACTTGTGGGCTCTGTGGGAGAAGGCGAGGGTGGGATGTTTCAAGAGAACAGCATCGAAACATGTATATTATCTAGGGCGAAACAGATCACCAGCCCAGGTTGGATGCATGAGACAAGTGCTCGGGCCTGGTGCACTGGGAATACCCAGAGGGATCGGGTGGAGAGGGAAGTGGGAGGGGGGACCGGGATAGGGAATACATGTAAATCCATGGCTAATTCATTTCAATGTATGACAAAAACCACTGCAATGTTGTAAAGTAATTAGCCTCCAACTAATAAAAATAAATGGAAAAAAAAATAAAAATAAAAATAAAAAACACATGCATAAACAGAAAAAAAAAAAGAATGAGGTCATCCACAATGGCATCTAAAACATGAGATGCCTCAGGACAAATTTACAAGAGAAATATGTGACATAAATAAAGGAAACTATAAATCAACTGAAAGATAAAAGAAGGCTTTAATAATATGGGGGGGGAAAGCCGTATTCCTGAGTGGAGAGATTAAAAGTAAGATGTTAATTCTCCCCAGCTTTATAGCCTTAAGACTTTTGAAACTGAAATATCAGTGGGACTTTCTGTCTATACTGTTTTTAAAATGATTATGAAATTTATGATAGAAAAGCTAAAACAGAAGGATAAGAGGGGATATTACCCTACTAAATAAATACATGTGTAATAATCACAGCAGAAGATGGTGCTTGGAATAAAGAGGTAATAGGGGTGAGAAGTGGTCAGATTCTGGGCACTTCAAAGGTAGAGAAAACCAGGTGTGACAGTGGACAGGACATGTAGCATGAGAAGAAGAAAGAACTCAAGGGCGATGCCCGGTTTTTACCTGAGTTACTCACTGAGATGCGGAAGGTGGGATAAAATATTAGAAGGGTGAAGAAAGGGCTCAGGAGCTTGGCTGTAAGTTTCCAATGTTAAGTTTTTAGATGGTCATTACACGTGCAGAAGGAACAAAGTAGGCAACTGTACTTTAGGGTCTGGAACGCAGGAGAGAGGTTCATGTCCAGGCTGAAGTTATAAACCAGAAAAGTCATCTAGGGAGTAGCTATAAAAAAGAAGAGACAATGTCTGCAAACTGAGAGCTTGGTAGACAGAGAGAGGTGCTGCCCAGACCCCCACTCAAGGAAAGACAGGCGCCCCACCTTCCAGGAGAAGCTTCCTCACCCGACCTGACGCCTGGCCCCACACCCTGGCCACTCCCAGGCCGCCTACGTGTGTGGCCTGGCGGGGCTGGGGCGCAGAAGTTCTCGGTGTTTTTTGACTGCTTGCAGGTTAGTAATGACCAGTAACACATGCTCCAGGCGCCCTACTGTGCTGACTTCTGCTTTGTTGGACCTCTGTTGTGACAGACCTCTGTCTCTGCTTCTGGCTCACTCCTTCCTTTCTTAGGCGTTGATCCCTAAGATGCATCTCATATACCAAGCTGTTTCAGCATCTGCTCCCACAGAGCTAAATTACTATAACCTGAAATCAAGGAGAAACCAGTTAGGAGAGATAGAGAGGCCTTTGAAGCAGGAGAGTAACCAAGAAAAGGGGGAGGATTAGAAACCCAGAGAAGTTCAAATGGTTACAAAACGAAACCTGCTGTATCAAACATCCTGGGGTGTCTCCCAATAGCTGTTCTTGTCTTCTTCCTGAGTTTTACAGCTCCCAGATTTATTTTAGATGTAAACCTGGCTGTCCAAAATAAAGACAAAATTTCACAATTTCCATCAAAGCTAGATGTGATGATGTGACTAAGTTCCGGCCAATAATATATCAGTGGCTGCTTCAGGAAATAGTCCTTCAAAACAAAAATAGCGGGTAAAATCTTTGTCCTTTCTGTCTTCCTTCCTGCTACTTAGAATGTGTCTAGGATGGCTAAAGGGGCCTCCCAGGTGGCGCTAGTGGTAAAGAGCCAGCTTCCCAATGCAGGAGATATAAGAGATGTAGGTTCAATCCCTGGATCAGGAAGATCCCCTGGAGGAAGGCAAGGCAACCCACTCCAGTATTCTTGCCTGGAGAATCCCATGGACAGAGGAGCCTAGCAGGCTACAGTCCATAGGGTTACAAAGAGTCCGACAGGACTAAAGCGACTTAGTACGCATACACACAGGATGGCTATAACTCCATCCTGGCCAAGGTTCCCACCATAACTTAGGGATGGTGAAGTAGAAAGTTGC